TGTTTCCCACGGTATAGTCACCCATAAAATGCGGTCCTGAGTCCCTTTTCACTGAACGAAATGATGACTCGACACCAAACCCACTGTGCTGACACTCACAGTGGGCTTGCAAGACCCAGCAGAACCGCCGAGGGTTTATGCTCTCGTCCCTTTTGGCTAGCAGCCCAGCGCTGCACCACGGGGCCACCAGGGCCTCGACTGCGTGTGGCCATTTTCCTGAAGGCACACATCGTCTTTGCAATTCTGTACCTCTGCCTTTGATTCAGTTGCTATCTATAACTTCTCCTGTGGCTTCCAAGACAAATTAACCTCGCGGTCATCGAGCTGTGGCCTACTCATAGAGACCCCATAGGACAGGGGAGACGCTAACCACTGGAATGACATCAAAACAAGAAGTGGCTATTCAAATACTCCATTTACATCCTATTTCAGATGAACACATTTGGCTTATGCTGGTCACATGAGGTTCCCAGGATTGTGTGGTAGGGCCAACAGTTGAAAGGAGAAGAGGTAAGGAAACATTTATATAAATTCCTACTGTTAAGTATTTAGGATACCAACATCACTACCAGCATTCAAAAGATACCACTAAAATGCAATATGATAGTCAGATGTTAGGGAAAGTCTCTCAATGTGACTACAGAGTGTTCATCAGAATTATAGCTGCCATATAGAGGTAATTTTGTTTTATAATTCAGTGGTAAAATGCTTGCTACACCCTTAAGATTTCAATCAGCAATCTCCTGCCACATCATACAGAAAACTATCTGACATTCAATGGCATAAAAGTCACCCTGTGTTATCGCTTGAGTCTAGGGTGGGTTGGCAGTTCACGAATCACAGATTAGGCTCATAGGATCTTTCTTGTGCTTCCTCACGTCTGAGGCCAGAGCTCAGATGACTACGCTGACCCAGCTGAGGTTTGGCTGATCTCTCCATCACCCACAAGCTAGCAATCATTACAGCTGACCAAGCTTCCAGCACAGACGAGAGCATGTGCGGTCTCTGTGGCCTTGGCTTAGAACGGCACAATATCATATCTGCTATAACAACAGTGATCAAAACAGGTCCCATGCCTGTCCTGAGTCCACCAAAGTGCACCCATTGTCGTCCAGTCCTTTCTGATGGATAGCGACCCCAGAATGGACTCAGCAAAGTAAAACTCCGCCATAAGGTTTTCTTGACTGTAATCGTTACGGGAGCAAATGACCATCTTCTGCCGAGCTACTAGAATGGTTCAAACAGTCAACTTTCAGGTTAGTAACCAACCCACTGCCATCGAGTTCACTTTGACACACCGTGACCCTACAGGACGGAGTAAAACTGCTCCTTAGGATTTCCAAGCAGATGAGCTCAAACCATTTACATCACCCTAGGAGCCTGTCATCTGAATACAGGTCTGTGTATCTACTGGGTTGAACTTCATCCAGCTGGTTTCAGTCCCATAGCACCCTATCCTGTTTAGATCATTTAGGAATTTTATTTTGCCATCTATGAATTGGTTACTTATTTCAGCGTCAATAAACAGCCCCCTTTTCTCAGTGACTTAGCATAGCCACGAACATTTCTCACACCCCTGGGTCTGTGGGATGGCTGCTGCAGTCCTTCGCCAGGTAGCAGGTTCTGGTATCTTCCACACCCCTCTAGTTCCTGGGCCCTGGTGAAGGGAGCGGCAGCTACCTGAGGCGTGCCATCTCCTGGTGCAGGGAAGGGTCACACCAGGCCTAGTCAATTTCACAGCAGCAGAAGTCTCTAGTCAGATGGGATACACACAACATCTGCTCACCTTCCACCTGCTGGAGCAGGTCACACGACCAAGGCCAGGGGGAGCGCTTTTGGAGGCATCCTGCACCCACCCAAACTGCACCATGGTACGGGGCAGAGAGGAAAAGAAGAGAGAAACCTAATACAAAATAATCATAATAATACAATTGGCACACATTTTATTAGCCTTTAAAAAAATAAACATCTGTGTCTTTTACAAATGCATAATTATTGATCTAGAGACATAGCTTCCCAAGGTGACTGTACTAAGGAGTCATCACACAGGTGGGTCTGTTGTGGGTTTGTTTGTTTGTTTGATAGATTGCTTTGCAAGTCCTCAATATGTTTAATAGTCACACATAAAATACATCTATTATTCCTTCCAGGAACATAAAATTTTGGAGAGATAAGGCTTGGGCACTACAAAAACCATAATGTATACAAGGGAGTGGGTTGTTCTTCTCAAAATAAATACATATCATCTTATTTCAGAGACCAAATTGATCCCCACAAGATGAGGTGCTTCAGGAAAGAGAATATAGTTCAGCAGAGTAAGATTTTGATAAGTGAAGAGAGTAAGAGGCAAGACCTGTTATTTGGGGGAAACACCATATGCAAATGAGGCAGATGGGAAAATGAAAAGCCTAGGGAGTGAAGGAGGCCTAGAGAAGCTTCGTTAGGTAATGGGCTAGCCTGGCAGTGTGTTTTTATTATATATGCAATAGGGATTGGCTGGTTTTTTTTAAACAAGAAATCACTTTATCAATGCAATGTTTTAGGGAATTGAATTCAGTACCTATAGTGAAGAGGAATGGGTCAGAAGAAGGTGGACGGCATAGAGTGATCGGTGGATCCCAATTCTGAAATGAGGGCTTAGAGTAGGGTGTTGCCAATGACCACAGCAGTTCTGCAGCCAGATGACTGGTTTCACTACTACTTAGGTAACAAGGTATTGCTATGACCAGTTCCATACCTGCTCTATGAGGCTGCCTGTGTGACAAGAAGCTGGGTATGTAGGTGGAAATGGTGAAATACTTGAAGACACACCAGCATGTAAGCTCCAGGGGAAGTAGGGGTGTTATTTAAATCCTAGCACAGAGTACAGTAGTATCTCTAGGGAGTACAAGTGGTGACACCAAAATGACTCCTGAGTTCAGCGGTGGTGGTGGTGGTGGTGGTGGTGGTGGTGGTGGTGGTGGTGGTGGTGGTGGCGACGACAGGCTGCTGAGGCAGTAGAGACACTAGAGTTGAGTGGTGTCACCTTTCAACTGCTCACCATCTTCATCCTCCCTTCCAATCCCCCAGTCACCTGCCAAGCAACAAGCAGACATCCTACCAGCGAGCAGAGAGGAAGGGGAGCAGGAGGTAGCTGGCCCAGAGCAGCAGGTACTGAACCCTGTGCAGGAGTGGATGGGGCTACTCTCCCCACCTGCAAATGGTTTTTCTTCAAGCCCCACCCCGTCCTGGGTTGAATGGTGAATTCGTGCACTGGGGAACACGAGGCTTAGTGGTGCCACTGCACAGTTCCCTGTGCCTCAAGGCTTGTTTCAGCTTCCAGCTACTCAGAGGAACCCATGCATTCTATGGGCACATGTTCCAGTTCTGTCTGGCTTCCGGATGCAGTCCCAGAGAAAGTCATTTGAGCTGAGGTTTTAGACTGAGACTTGAAAGATGAATTAGCAAGAAATGAAGTTGAAGGAGAGGGCTTTCCAACTATAGAGAACTGCTGGTGAGAAGACACTGATTTTAGGAAGAGCTTGGCTTATTTGAAGAACAAGAAGTCTGAAGTAAGCCAAGAGAAGAGCAGCATGTATACAGTACGTGATAGGGAAACCAGAGCTTTACCAGTGTTCTGTGGGTGGGAGCAAGAAATTTGAATTTTTTGAGAACAACAAAGAGAAGCCATTGTTGTATCATCAGGCCAACAAATAACACATTCTAATCTGTAAAATAATAAGTAAATAAAGTAAGTTGTTCAAATTGCTGTATGGAAAATAGATTAAAAGGAGTTAGGGGCTGAATTGAGGAAGCCACTTGGGAATGTAATGCAATCATTCAAATGAGAAATGAGAAGGGTAGAGGAAGACATGGAGAAAAATGAATGCGATTTGAGAAACATTTTAGAGAAAGAATAAGAAACTTTTGAAGACCAGGTATGGGGGTGACAGAGAAAAACAGGAGAGCTATGACCTTCAAATTTCTGGCATATGCCATTTCTAGAAAAAGCAGGCTTGAGGAGGAAGATGATGAGTTTGGTTCTGAACACAAAAAGTATGCATAGCTTGTGGGACATCCTACAGGAGAAGCGGGTGGGCAGCTGTACATAGGGTGTAGCGCTCAGAAGGGAGGTGTGGACAGGAACCATATTTAAGGGTCTTTAACATCTAGGAGGCAATTGAAGCTATAGGTAAGATCACCACCGGACAGCATGAGAAGAAGTGTACCAAGGTCCATCCTGATTAAAACGTAAACATAATGATCGTTTGATAGTAGAAGTAGAGACGGGGTTCTTTTTAGGTAGGACAAGAATGCCACGACCATGGGGACAAACAAGGAGGTAGTGGTGTAATCAGAAACAAGAAGAATGTAGTTGTCACCTGGGCCAAATATTTTTGAGAGGTAAAGTAGAGGGCAGGGAGGTGTCCGCCAGAGTCCCCTGTGCATGTCTAGCTGTATGTAGAGTCCTGGTGGGTAGTCCATTAAAGCTTTGGGCTGCTAACCCAACCCCATGGTCAGCATTCTGAACAAGGCTGTCTGTACCAGCAAAGATGTACAGACTCTGAAACCCTAAGGGTTTCTATTTCATCCAAAACTTCACTGTGGGTCAGAATCAACCTGATAGCCATGAGTCGGTTTTGGCTTTTGGAGGTCAAGTTGCTGAATTTCTAGAATGGCAGCATCCTCAACTTTGTCCTCCACCAGGGTTTTCTAGTATGGGACCAATCCAGGACCAAGTTTGAATCTCTGTAAACACAGTGCTTCCTTTCAGATGTTCTCTACGAATAGGCCAACAGGGCATCCCGCCCATCCAATTGCCACCTGCAATAAAGTTAGTGGGTAAGCATAGGGTGAGACCAGAGGGAAGCCTGCGGGGGGAGGTGGCGGCGCTCGGGGAACAGCCGCGTCTGATTGGCGGGGCGCGGCAGCCGCCCGCCCTGTGAGTGGGGGAGGCGGCCCTTCCGCGGCCTTTTCTCAGACCGGTACTTTCGGTTTCCTGCGCAGCGTCTGCAAGGAGGCCTATCCGACAGAGTCCCCTGGGGTGCCGCACACGTCCGACCGGAGATCCGAGAAGGAGTTCCGCAGCGCCGGAGAGGCAGCGTCTGTGCACCCGCCTGCCCCCCGGCCCACCCCTGCCGGGCGCGGCTCGCAGAGTGAGTGGGCGCGAGGTTGCAGGTGCCCGGGGAGTGGGGAGAGGGGGGAAGACGCGGGCGGGCGGGCCGGGCTGTGCCGCGGGACGCCGGCTGCAGCTTTTCCAGATTTCGAGGGCCGCGCCCGCGCCTGCACAGCCCCCGCCGGTCTCGGCGACGCGTGCCGGGCGCTCTCGGACAGGGTGGCAGTTCAGGAAGTGTCCGTGGACAAGGATGAACAAGCCACGAACCGTAACTGCATATAGGCGCATGCTTCAAAGTGAAAGCGCTTCCAGGACTTCCTGGAGTTTAAAGGTGACATCTAGGTCCTGCAACCCCCAGAAGAATGTCATTACCCTTGGAGGCGGAAACAATCTGATCCAGATCAAAGTGCCACCGTGTTTTAGGTGTTGCGTGTTGTGTGTAGAAGTTGGGAGCTGTTTTGACGGCCCAGCACAGTTCAGAATGCTCCCATGCACTTAATAGGGAACTTGTGGGGTCCTAAGTATGGTCTGCGGTTACCTTGGAATTCAATGAGAAGCGAAGTACGTGCTTTCTGTTTCGGTTCAGGCAATGGAACATATGGGGGCTTCGAAAAGTTCGTGGAAACGATTCATTATCTTTTCATTCGCGTTTTCCACGAATGTTTCTAACCCCTCTCGTACTGTGTGCAGGGCTGTCCCAGCTTCACGGGAGGTGGAGAAAAGTAAGGCAGGGTCCTGAGCTTACATCGCGTAGAGGAGGCAGACAGAGATTTGCAACGGCTACCATGGTCGATGCTCTATAGAGGGCCCATGCAGTGGGCACACAAGTCAAGGGACATTTAATTGTCTCTGGTAAGTCTCAGGGAGCCCTGTGGGTATAAGGGTTACGTGTTTGGCTGTTAACCTTAAGGCCAGCAGCTTGAAACCACTAGCTGCTTCGAGGGAGAAAGACAAGGCTTTCTACTCCGACAAACATATCCGTCTCAGCAACCCACGGGGCAGTTCTACCTTGTCCTATAGGGTCGTTGTGAGTCGGCATGGACTTGGTGGTGAGTTGGCTTTGGTTCTGTCTGTCTTGTGTGGGGTGGTGGTGGTAAGTTACACACTGGGAGCCCTGGGGGGCACAAATGGGTAAGAGCTGGGCTGCTAGCACCAAGGTTAGTGGTTCAAATCCACTTGGCAGCTCCGGGTGAGGAAGCCCTGGTGTTCTGCTTTGGTAATGATTCCAGCCCCGGACACTGGACAGGGTAGTCTGCTCTGCCACACGGGCTCACTGTGCATAGGAACCGACTAGAGGTAGCCCCACAACAGCAGTCAAAGCAGGGAAGAAGCAGCCTTGCACGCAGCGGTGAGCCTGGTAGCGTTGGCAGAAGCAGAAATTTGTAGGGAGCCATTTTTTCAGGGGCTAGTGGAGGGCTCCTGGTGGCCTAGCATTGGGCTACAGAACCACCGGTTGCTCCGCGGGAGAAAGACAGGGTTTTCCTCTCTTGTAAACAGATACAGTTCTGGAAATTCACAGGGGCCCTTCTTCCCTGTCCTATAGGGTCGCTATAAGCTGGCATCAACTCGATGGCAGTGAGTTTGTTGGGGGTAGCGGGGGTGGGGGTTGTTTTTGTGAGTGACAGCTGGAGCCCAACAGAAATGCTGAACACAGGCACACAAACAAACAAGATTATCAGGAGTCGGCCTGGAAATCAGCCTGGGAATATACAAGCCAGTGTCCTTTTTATAGCAAGAAACGTGTGCAGCAAGTGGACTGGGAATGGGGAGTACAGACAGCTGAGGTCATTGCTGAATTTGGGGTTTGGACCAGGTGATAGGGGGATGGTGATGATACTCCCTGGAAAATAACCGGTTTGTGAGATGAGATTGATTTTAGATGTTAACACTTATTTGTTGACCATCCATCTGCTCTGTGCCAGGTTCTATGGATGCGCTAGCTCACCTAGCTCAGAGTAGTCTTAGAAACCACTCGACTGATAGGGGAGTCGCCTGAGGTCACTCGGCTAATGAGAGTAGTCACTATCCCAGTGGGCTGTAGCTTGGGAGGGTATTTGTTTTGGGGGACAGAGGGAAATTTGGAGGCTTCTGTTCAGGTAGAATAAATTGGAAGTAAGGAATCAGATTGCGCCAGAAGGTGAGCAATGGGGTTGGGCTTGGGTCTATTTCTAGTGGTATTTGTGGCAGCAACTAGGTTGGTAGCACCCCCACCCCCACTGTCTGTTGGAAGATCTGTGGACTTGGTGTTAAGTTGCGCCTGCTCAACATACACTCTCGTTCACGATTTGAACATGTGAGTAGACCCTGCTCAGAGACTTGGCAGGTTGAGGTCCACTTATATCCATTCTGAGTGCTGCCAATCATGGGCTGAAGTAAATTCTAAAGTATGTGCTGGTAATGGAGCAAAAAGCCAAAACAAAGCCCATTGCTGTGATTGGACTCCTAGAGTCCGGATAGGACAGAGTGGACCTGCCCCACAGGCTTTCCAAGGCTATAAATATCTACAGAAGCAGAGAGCCACATCCATCTTCCATGAGGTGGCTGGTGGGTTTGAACTTCTGACCTTATGGTTAGCTTTAACCCCTGCACCACCAGGGCTCCTTGTAGAAATGGAAGGGTTTTCGTCTTCTTATGGATTTTCAGACTTCCATTAATCAGTTTTGTCTTATTTTTAATCCTTAAGCTGCTATGTAAAAACTAGTTCACACTCAACATGAGAGAAACACAATTTTATGCTCTCAAATCAGTTTAAAGAGTTGTTTTCATCTTTAAAAATTATTTCTAAGATTTGAGATGTTACAGTAGGCAAAGAAGAAAAAACAACTCTTAAAAATGTCTGTAAGCAAAACTGAGGAGCCCTGATGGCTTAGTGGTTATGTGTTGGGCTGCTAACCACAAGGTCAGCAGTTTGAAACCACCAGTCAGCTCCAAGGGAGAAAGCTGAGACTTTCTACTCCCGTAAAGAGTTACAGTCTTAGAACATACAAGGGCAGTTCCAGCCTATCCGACAGAGTCCCTAGGAGTCAGTGTGGACTTGATGGCAGTGAGGGAGGGTGGAAGGAGGGATAAGCACGAATGCTTACTTTATGATGTGAATCATCAGATATTGTCCGCCAGTTTACAACCCTTTGCATCCACTATAAATGCACTGTGGTGGTGTTAGCTGTTGCTGAATGAGTTGGCCCGGTCTCCTGTATAACAGAAGAAAATGCTACCCAGATCTGGGCCAGTTCTGTGATCTTTCATATGTTTGAGCTCATTGTTGGAGCTATTGTGATTTCATCTCCTTGTGGGTTTTCCTAATTTTCACAGACCCCTACTTTCCTATACATCAGAGGTGGGGGACCTTTGGGATGTGCATAACATCATTCTCAGGCCTACAGCTTACAAACTGGCCTCCTATATTTGGCCAAATCTTTAATTAACTCACTCCTAACGTGATGGCTGGAACTGCTTCTTTTTGGTGAAATGTATGATGTTAGCTGACATTGAGGATTTTGTGGGTCTTAGACAGCTCATGGGCCAGACGGGTCCCCAGCTCTGCTATACATGATGTTCCTCTATAGCAGTGGTTCTCAACCTGTGGGTCGTGACCCCTTTGGGGGGTCAAATGATCCTTTCACAGGGGTCGCCCGATTCATCACAGTAGCAAAATTACAGTTATGAAGTAGCAACGAAAGTAATTTGATGGTTGGGGGGGTGTCACCACAACATGAGGAACTGTATGAAAGGGTCGGGGCATGAGGAAGGGTGAGAACCACTGCTCTATAGCAATTGGTATATCCTGATGATGGGCTCAGAGTAAGCAAAACAGAGCCTCGCCAACCTTCCCTCTAAAGAACATTCAGCTTGTATTTCTTCTGAAATTGATTAATGTGTTCTTCGGGCAGTCCATTCAGGATTCTTTGCCAACACCCCAATTCAAAAGCATCAGTTCTTCTCCCTTTTTCCTTGGTCCAGTTTCTCAATGAACATTAAGACAATAAAACAGACCAGGGTTTGGGGGCGTAGTCAACAAAATGACCTCTTTGCGGTGGAGAATTTTAAACAGCTCTTTTATAGCAGAATGCCTCCACTGCTGTTTTCCTGGGTGTTGATTGCTGATCCAAGAGGAATGAAACCCTTGACAACTTCCATTTTCTCTTCATTTATGATGCTGTTTATATTGGCCCAGTTGTGAGGCAATTTGCAGGCAGCTGTTTTTGGAGAGTTCTTGTCATTTGGCTTTTCTGGTTAAAATGCGGGTACATTTTAAAGGCCTATTTATTAAGCACTTACTATGAGGCCACCACCATTCCGGAGAGAGAGCAGTGTACAAAACTCCACAGCATCCTTCTCTTCATATTGTGAAAAAGGGACACTAAGCAAAAGATAACGCGGCCACATGGTTTAAATGCTACAGAGAAAAATGAATCAAAGACGTTGGGTCGTGTCTTCCATGGTTGCAATTTAAATTAAATAGAACATGAAGGCTACCCTAATACATTTCCCAGAAAAGAAAAAACACATCGACCACCCCTCAAATACATTTTAAAAATAGACTTTAAAAAAAGAACCAAACTCACTCCCATCGAGTTGATTCTGATGCAGAGCGACCCTATATAGGGATTTTGCGGCTGTAAATCTTCATAGAAGCAGACAGCCTTATCTTTGCTCGGCAGAGCTGCACATGGATTTGAACCCTCTACGTTAACTTATGGCTAATAGCCCAGTGCTTCCAGGACTGCCACCAGGGCTCTTTAAAAATAAACTTAGACACCATTTAAAGAATATATTTCAAAGATAAATTGGGTTTTGGATTAAATGACTATATGATAGTATACAGCGTTTCTTTGAAGCGCTACTCTCCATTTACAGTGTGTGTTCTTTGTTGTTATTTCTGTAGGATGGCTCAGTGGTATGAACTTCAGCAGCTTGATTCCAAATTCCTAGAGCAAGTTCATCAGCTTTATGATGACAGTTTCCCCATGGAGATCAGACAGTACCTGGCCCAGTGGCTAGAAAAACAAGACTGGTAAGGAATGTGCACTTGACCTGTCACTGCCACTTTTCAAATCCATGTTCATTAAGTGACTTGGAGCATGTTAACTTGGAAGGTGAATCTTGTCAATAGGGAATGGAATGATCTATTTCTGAAAAGTGCTACAATTTATTTATTTACTTATTTTTAAGGCATGTCTTTACACAAAGCTAAAAACATGAATCATTAAGCACTTTTCTGTAGTTTTGGGGAATTTGATTATGATATGTGCTCTAGATGTTTTGGATTAAGTTAGATAATGCTGACACCATCTATTTTTGAAGTCAGGGTCCAGGAAGAAGTGGATTCATTTTTTAAAATCCAAATTGTAGTACAACATTGAATAGAGATATGAAGAAGCTAATGAAACCAAGTCACAGCTCTTTAAATTGATATATGTCCTGTTTTGCTTATTGCAAATATTTTAAATCTGAAAAAATTCGACCTAGAGAATTTATTTTGTGCAAATCTCTCTGTAGAACTGTGGAATTCTTCATAGTAATGCTATACTTCTAGTTCTTGTTACTAATCGAAACACTGGTAACTTATTAATCGTAAAGGTAATGAGATGAAAAGAAGGTAATACAATCTAAGAAAATATTTAAAGTCATCTCTGATAATCCCTATAAGAAAGAAGTCTCCGTTTTGTCGAAGCATTAACTAGAATGAAAACGTGCCCCTTCACAATCCCCCAGGGAGCATGCCGCCAACGACGTGTCCTTCGCCACCATTCGCTTCCACGACCTCTTGTCCCAGCTCGATGACCAGTACAGCCGCTTTTCTTTGGAGAACAACTTTCTGCTGCAGCATAACATAAGGAAAAGCAAGCGCAATCTCCAGGTATGGCCTCGGATTTGTGTTTTCGTCGACATATGCTCGTATTTATAAAGTAGAGGAGTTTTTGTTTAGTTTTTTAATTCAAATACGAGTTAGCACAGTCTTCAGTGGGGGAAAATTTAGACTGCAAACAAAGAAACTTATTTTGAGTGGCTAGTACTTTATAACAAAGGAAACATCCATTCCTTCTGTGAGTTCACGAGGCTTTCTCCGCTTTCGGGGGCTATCTGTGAGATGTTAAGACGTTCTCAGAGAGCGGTGGTGCCATATCGTGGTTTGACTAAAGATTGCTAAAATTCAAACGGAAGAAAAGGGACACACTGTCAGAGCAGTGAGGCCTGGTAGTATGTTAAAGTTTCGAGGAACTTCAGTGACCACTTAGGTCTGATTCCTCAATGTCCAGACAGATGGGAAACAAATCTGGGAGAGTTTGGCTTCCCTGGGGCCGAGTAGTGAGTTGGTGAACTGGAAGGAGGTTCCTTGCTTTGGGTCTGATGGAATTGCCCTCTGCTCAGAGATGGTCAGGGGGAGATCCTGGTGTGAGAGACAGTGCTGTGAGGAGCAGATGAATTCTTCAAAAGGTCTTCCCAGCACGCCCCAGGGCTTGGCTCTCATGCTTATTTCTATATTCATGGAACTTTGTTGTATATTAGTGGGGGTGAGAACTGGCCATGTTCTTGTTTCATACAACATACCTGAACTTGCCAACTTAGGTAATAGGCACCTCCTTATCCATCTCCCCCATCCCCCAGTTTAATGGATCTGATAGTCCCAGTGACAAGGTGTTCTGGTCTCACAGTAGGTCAAGCACTTACTGCTAACTGAAATGTCTGTGATTTGAACCCCCCAGTTGCTCCAGGGGAGAGAGGAGGAAATCTGCACCTGTAAAGATCTGTATCCTCTGGATGGATGAACTGTGAGGAGAGTTGTACGAGCCCCCAATACAATGATTGTTAAAAGAAAAAAGAAAACAGCTATAGACAAAAACAGACGACGGAGCTAGTTCCAATAAAACTTTGTTTAAGAATATTGAGAAAAAAGAGAGAGAGCTTTGTATCCTCAGAAACTGTATGGAGTAGTTCTACTCTGTCTTCTTGGGTTACTCTGAGTTGTAATCGACTCAACCACAGTGGATAGACACTCTCAATGAGTATGAACATCATACTGATCAAAGTAAGGAATCACATATTCCCAATGATTTTACTTGAACATACCTTTTTTGAAGAGTCAAGATTTTTACTATTTTGTGAACTGTCTTGGCAATGAACACAGAAAAATAGCTCTGACCTAATTAAGAGGCGAGACCAACAAATACTTGAGAAATTTCATGGGTAATTTTTGTAGCATTTTTGTGGTCTCAAGGCTGTCAGACAATATAGTTGGCCTCAAGAGAAATGGAAAGATATGACTATGAATAGTAATATTAATATCAATAATCAGTCATAATAAGTATACAGTTTATGTACTTATATTATTAATAACAGATATATGTTTGTAGTCTGAGAAAATATACACATAGTACTCTAATCATAAATTCTATAAGGTATATAAAAATATATGAACCATATATGAAAAGACTTTACTGATGAAGAAATACTTAAGTACTTGAACTTATTTAGAAAATTAAATCAATTTTTATCATGACTTGTCAAAGGAATATTTTTATTTTAACAAAAAATGTCAAATTTAATAAATGTGAGGATGAAGTTTTTCCATTGGTTATGAACACACATATCAATTTACAATGTATAATGATTTAAACATTAAAAATTTTAACTTATTTTTATTCTAACCCATTTCCAGGATAATTTTCAGGAAGACCCGATATTGATGTCTATGATCATCTATAACTGTCTGAAGGAAGAAAGGAAGATCCTGGACAATGCCCAGAGATTTAACCAGGTATTTTTTCCACTCGAGCATTAAAAATTGCAGTAAGATTACATTCCATTTTCTCACTCAGCAAATACTATGAGGGTACTCTTCAAGGCAGCGGTGAATACCCTTTGATTTTATAGCCCCAGTGAATGGGTAAAAATCAGATTGAGAGATTTGATAAAGCAGGTTTTAACACAGCGGCCCTGATTTCATGGAATTACATTATACTGAGGAAGAATGATGACAAACATTGCTTCCAAATACTGATAAGACTATAAATACAGGGTACAGAGTACAAGCTGGAGCCCTAGTGGCATAGTGGGTTAGGTGTTGGGCTGCTATCCAAGCAGTCAGCAGTTCAAAGCCACTGGCTGCTCCATGGGAGAAAGATGAGGCTTTAGTCCATAAAGTTATAGTCTCACTCACAGGGGCAGTTCTACTCTGTCCTGTAGGGTAGCTATGAGCTGGAATTGACTCAATGGTAGTGAGATTAAGTACAGGCTAAAACTAAGGATTGACAAGGCCCTGGGTATTCCAAACTGTTCCTGTCTCAAGGTTGTT